ATTGTCCGGGACCAGACGATATCGGTGAAATCATGCCCTCCGGTTTACTTACCTGTAAATGTCGCAAAACCAGCAGTCATGACCACAGATGACCGATTTTAATAATTTTACAGTAGGTAAAAATTGTGTGGCCAAAAAATATGGCCAAACCACGGACTTAGATAATCTAATTCCGTGGCCAAACTGAACTCTGAAATGACCTGGTTTGAAGTGACAAAACCCAAGCCGCCATGATGAGCCCTTCTCACTGATCGTAATTATGATCAATAAAAGGTATCTAATTATGTCTTCCACCATGAGATATGCACCAGCGGTTACTAAACATCGAATTACTTATTAATTGATATGTTTTTGTAAGCAAGTAAATGTTTTATGTAAAATATTTCTAAAATGAATTGATGTATGCCGATATGCACACACGTGTGTGTCATGTGTGATCAGATAATTCAAAGAAAACAAACAACAAATTACACATTTTATGTAGTTTCTTCTTGGTTTTTAATATCATTTTACATCAATGAAAAAAAAATCATAAGAAATATATTTAAAAAAAAAATATTCAGAGATCGATTTTTGGAGCATGAACATCGTTTTTTCCCCAGATTTTTTGGGTGCGCAAAATATTCGAGTAGAAGCTTTTTTCCCGATTTTCAGCCTCAAAAAGTACCTGCGCAAATTACACAGGTGCGCAAACTACATGGGTTTTTACGGTAACTATTTTTAGCTCATAGTAATTATAGTGCTCAATGTGCATATCTGCAGTAACAATGGTGAATTTGTTATTGTCTCTGCTGGACATGAAAATGTTTGCACGTTATTAAGTAAAAAAAAATATATTTAATTTTTTATTTATTACTTTGCATCAATATTCTTTAAGTTCAAATATTACTTTTCTGAATTTTAATTCTTAATCTGAAGTGAACGTTTCTAGCTTAAATACATTTCCAAATCCAATATTAGTGTAATAAGTTATAATTGTCTAAATGTCATTTGTTTGGTTTTCGCTCACCTGCCCGAAGGGCAATTGCCATGGCGCGGCATCTGCCATCTGTCCATCTGAGGAAATTGACTTAATTTAGCTTGGAGTATCCTCTTCCAAAGAATTGTGTTAAAATTCAAAAATGTGTTGAAAACCTTAAACAATCTATTTAATAACCAGAAGGCCTAGAATGATGATTTGTGGCCAGTCACTTGCTCAGATATATGCTACAAGGTTTATCCATATAAATGACCTTCACCCAAATTCAAGGTTACAGGGGTCAAATGTGTGGAAGACATTTAAACAATTTCTAGGTGCATAGGGTGGTGATATTTTGCCCATAGCATGCTTAGGTGAAGAGCTATTAAATTTGTGCGTGTGAATTACCTTGATCCACTTTTAAGGTCACATGGTCAAATGTGTATAAACATTTAATTGACCTCATCTCTATAAACAAAAAGTCTAGTGTGGTGATATTTGGCAAGTTTCATGCTGGGGTGCAAATGTAAAGTTACCTCAAATGAATGACCTAATAGATACAGTCACATTGATCAAATTGTACTGGAAATTTTAGAAAAGAATTCTATGTTATAAAAAGAAATGATGTGGAAAAGGTTTAATTAACAATTAGTTTCTGATGACATACATAAATATATATATATATCTGTAGATGGTACAAGTAATCAAATTTCATTTTGATTCCTATATATATATATATATATATATAATACTTTCGTTATTACTTCTTTGCCCACATATGTATTTAAGTATTTAAATACTCAAACCTGAAGAGCCCTGTGAAGGGTGAAAGCAGCTAGTTTTTTAGTCGGTCGTTAATCTTATTTTTTCTATATGTTATATATATATGTTATATAAGCATAAAAATGATCCTTACGGACGAAGAAATATTATAAAAAGATAAATTCTCAACAACGACTCGTTGCTGAGAATTTTTCTTTTTATAATATATATATATGTATATATTACTTTTACTATGTATATATAACGACAGTATGATCCAGTATTGGCACTTGATCCAAACAAACAAATGTTGGTTGGATACGACTATTACTTAAATACATTTGTGGGCAAAGAAGTAATAACGAAAATTTACATTTTACAACATAAAACAGAAAAACAGTCACCATGAGACAATAATACAATACAAAAACATAGACATAAACAAACAAAAGTTACTAATATAAAATATGCTAGTAACCAAAGGCTAATTATAGTAAATAATTCAATTTGAATACGTGAGTTCAAGTGAATTTATTCTAAAAATCTGAACAAATGTAGTGAGAAAAATCTTATGTCTTATGTCAGGACAGGAACTACTATGACATAGATTTTTCTCACTACATTCGTTCAGATTTTTAGTATAAATTCACTTGACCTGTTCTGTGAGCTGGATGCAATGACAAATTTTATCATTTATTAGCTCACCTGCCCGAAGGCCCAGGGTACTGTTATTGGGCCTGTAGCATGCTGGTTTGAAGGGCTACCAAGTTTGTTCAAATGAATGACCTGGACTCACTTTCAAGGTCACTGGGGTCAAATGTCTTAAAATCTTGGAACAACTTCTTCTCAATAACCAAAAGGCCCAGGGTACTGATATTAAGCCTGTAGCATGCTGGTTTGAAGGGCTACCAAGTTTGTTCAAATGAATGACCTTGTCCCACTATCAAGGTCACAGGGGTCAAATGTCTTTAAAATCTTCAAACAACTTTTCAATAACCAAAAAACCCAGGGTACTGATATTGGGCCTGTAGCATGCTGGGATGAAGGACTAACAAGTTTGTTCAAATGAATGACCTGGACTCACTTTCAAGGTCACTGGGGTCAAATGTCTTAAAATCTTCGAACAACTTCTTCTCAATAACCAAAAGGCCATGGGTACTGATATGCGGCCTGTAGCAGGCTGGGATGAAGGACTACCAAGTTTGTTCAAATGAAGGACCTTGACCCATTATCAAGGTCACAGGGGCCAAATGTCTTTAAAATCTTCAAACAACTTTTCAATAACCAAAAGGCCCAGGGAACTGATATTGGGCCTGTAGCATGCTGGGATGAAGGACTACCAAGTTTATTCAAATGAATGACCTTGACCCACTATCAAGATCACAGGGGTCAAATGTCTTTAAAATCTTCAAACAACTTTTCAATAACCAAAAGGCCCAGGGTACTGATATTGGGCCTGTAGCATGCTGGGATGAAGGACTAACAAGTTTGTTTAAAATGAATGACCTTGACCAACTTTCAATGTCACAGGGGTCAAATGTCGTAAAATCTTCAAACGACTTCTTCTCAATAACCAACAGGCCCAGGATACTGAAATTGGGCCTGTAGCATGCTGGGATGAAGGACTACCAAGTTTGTTCAAATGAATAACCTTGACCCACTTTCAACCTAATGTCCTTGTTCGACATTCAAGGTCACAGGCATGATATGTTTAAATCTTTTAACAGGTTCTTATGAATCAAACACTGATATTATGCCTGTAGCTGTATTTTAGTCCACTTTTAAGATTACAACTGTGAGATTATAATACTAGATGAGTGATGCAGGCCCATTAGGCCTCTTGTACCTATACACCATATGAATGTTTGACATGAGAATCATGTTAGTGACATTAATAAGGATCTGTTCAAAACTAAATGATGATGTTTAATCTTCCATTGGTTCGGTTCATGTCATTAAGAAATTAATGAGTTTTTGAACGGTGAGCCTACCTTACACTAAACTGTTTTATGGGGTACCCAATTTGAATGATCTTTTTTTTTTCAAATGACTTTTTTTTATTTGCCTGTTCTTGGTAACAGTGACTTACCGATCACTTACCTTAACGAGAAAGTAAAATACCTTGATGGTGTTTTTTTACCTCGTTAATATTTGAAATTTGTTTGGATGTCATTTGATCAAATTACATGATGTGAAAATTGCAAAAAATCACAGTTTTGAAATAGGATTGATCTGAGTAATTTTGTGGTTTTGTTTAAACAGCTGTAATGTGGTGGACTTGTTCTAAACTATAGTGTAGTGTTTTAGTACCAAAATTGTGCGAAATTGACATGTAGTTATATTAGATATCTTCTGTGATAATGTGTATATAGTACACAGTATACTAATTGAACATATTAATACAACGTATTTCTAACAAAATTTGACATAAACTAGATCATATTCATTTCATTTCCTCACCATATCAGTTCGATGTTATCTGTGTCACATTGTTTATACATGTATCATTTTTTCCATAAATTATAACTGAATTGGTGATTGTCTTTGACAAAATCATTTAGGTGATCAAATTTAACTGTACTGATAAATGTCAAGGTATATATATCCAATATGAATCAATTTTATCTTGTTTTAATTTTATAGATAATAATACAGACTTGTATGTCTGATTTAATTGAGAAAATCACACAGCAGAATATTTCAAATATACATTGAAAAAAAATGTTGTATTTATATATAATCAGTTACCCATTATATGTACACTATATATAGATACATTTGTATATGTACCATATATGTATACTATATATAGATATATTTGTATATGTACCATATATGTACACTGTATATAGATATATTTGTATATGTACTTTATATGTACCCTGTGATATATGGTCTAATGATGGGCCAATGATTCAAAATAATTGCATTTTTTTTTTAAATGAAACTAATCAATTGATGCAAGTGGTGAAAAAATGTTAAGTGTAAAGTTCAAGAGCCTTTGGAAACTTAAAAATCTATTTGTATCTTGAAAATGTTGAGCATTTTCATACCTCTAAAATACATACAACTGTCATAATTTCCCGTTCAACTGGTTTATTGAGCCAATTCAGTCAATAATATTAATTTAATGAACCCTGATTTATGTAGATAGTGACCTTTAATATAAGTGATATGTGTACTAGGTGACCTTTGTGATATGTAATCAATGACCCTTGCCATATATTCATTAAATGACCCTTGATCTATGTACTTATTGAACCATGTATTTGTAATAAAGATGAACCAACACCCGCAGAGCTGGCCTTGGCTGCTGGGCGAGCGTATGTCATCTTACCTAAAAAGTAAGTAATCTACTGGGCGAGCGTATGTCATCTTACCTAAAAAGTAAGCGATCTGCTGGGCGAGCATATGTCATCTTTCCTAAAAAGTAAGCAATCTACTGGGCGAGCGTATGTCATCTTACCTAAAAAGTAAGTAATCTCCTGGGCGAGCGTATGTCATCTTACCTAAAAAGTAAGTAATCTACTGGGCGAGCGTATGTCATCTTACCTAAAAAGTAAGTAATCTACTGGGCGAGCGTATGTCATCTTACCTAAAAAGTAAGTAATCTACTGGGCGAGCGTATGTCATCTTACCTAAAAAGTAAGTAATCTACTGGGCGAGCGTATGTCATCTTACCTAAAAAGTAAGTAATCTACTGGGCGAGCGTATGTCATCTTACCTAAAAAGTAAGCGATCTGCTGGGCGAGCGTATGTCATCTTTCCTAAAAAGTAAGCAATCTACTGGGCGAGCGTATGTCATCTTACCTAAAAAGTAAGTAATCTCCTGGGCGAGCGTATGTCATCTTACCTAAGAAGTAAGTAATCTACTGGGCGAGAGTATGTCATCTTATCTAAAAAGTAAGTAATCTGCAGGGCGAGCGTATGTCATCTTACCTAAAAAGTAAGTAATCTGCTGGGTAAGCGTATGTCATCTTACCTAAAAAGTAAGTAATCTACTGGGCGAGCGTATGTCATCTTACCTAAAAAGTAAGTAATCTGCTGGGCAAGCGTATGTCATCTTACCTAAAAAGCAAGCTATCTGCTAGTAGATTGTATGTCATCTTACCTAAAAAGTAAGTGATCTGCTGGGCGAGCGTATGTCATCTTACCTAAGAAGTAAGTGATCTGCTATGAGAGCGTATGTCATCTTACCTAAAAAGTAAGTAATCTACTGGGCGAGCGTATGTCATCTTACCTAAAAAGTAAGTAATCTACTGGGAGAGCTTATGTCATCTTACCTAAAAAGTAAGCGATCTGCTGTGTCTTTCTCACTCTTTCTTACTACAATTTTTTGGTAGGTACTGGTCTTTCTATACCCTCTCTCCCACCATAAATGTTTTTTGTTGATTATCTTAGATGACTCATGAACATCTTTTTCAATATCAAAGAGATATAGTTTGTTGTCAAAAAGTGGAGTTCCATGAATAAGCATGAGTCCAGCATTCAAAAATCCCAAAATTTTCTTCACCATCTGTTGACCCCCACTGTAAATAAGTTACCTCAAGGTGCATTTACTGTTAACATGACTCGATCCAACTGACAAAGAACTAATGAAGATGGTACAAAGGTGGGCACCAAGATCCCTCTGGGATCTCTTGTATTTAGTGGCATGAATTTTTTTAAACAATATGGAAAAAAAAAAAAAAAGATAAAAGTTCAAAATATATTAGATAAGTTTTCTATTTTTTTTAGAAACAATTGATAGGAAATATACAAGTGGAAAAAAATCTCCATATCACTAAAGTCAATTCAACATGATTGTTTTATAGGAGTAAGAAGAAGAGGAAACGTGCTCCTATCAACATGGCTCGTCTGGATGACATAGAGCAGTTCCTCAGAGCCCCACCAAAGCGTCTCCAACGTTCACACTCTCTGACCAACATCGCCAAACCTGTGGAGAAAGAGCTGCGAGTTCCAAGGTAAGGTTTTAGCCAAACAGCTACAGATGGTGGGCTATTAAAATCGCCTGTCTTTGGTGGTCCGTGCATGGTTCATCCTTAAACAATTCTTGTGATCACTATTTCTCAGAAAGTACTGGAGGGATCTATCTCAAATTTCATATGTAAGTTCCCCTTGGTCCATAGTTGTGCATGTTGACTGTTCAATTTTGAAAAAAAACCTTTGTACAGTCGAATCTGCTCAAGCGACCATCTGTATTAAACGACCATTTGTTTTATGCAACCTTTTTTCATTCCTCCCGACAGTTTTTACTATGTAATTCAACTGTATTAAGCGACCATCTGTCTAATGCAACCAGCGACCACCCATTACTGACCCCATTCAGTTAAAAAATCACATTTGATACATTTTAGCAACCATGTTTGACGAAAATATACGAAACGGTCGTTGAAACAGTTGTGCAACTCCAAATTTGCGACTGTCACCACATTTGACGAAGGGCTAATTCACGATCTTTTCACCAAGTTCAGGGAACAAATTTGACAAAATCAATTTCCAAATTTATAATCATTCATTGATGTGCAGAAACAAATAAAAAGTCATTTTTCTAACTGCCGATATTGTTGATTTAGCAGTGAAACTACAGACTGATATTTATCGCAGTTGAGCGAGACCATTTTGATCTTCATTGAATGAAGTACACTGGCGGGATTTCATTCTTGAAATCGGGTCTGTTTAGAGATGTTCACGGCAGCACTCTGGTGCGAAATTAACATTAGATATCAGCACTAAACATCTTTATATTAGCACACATATCGTTTCTAATTCCTAATCAGTATTAAAAGCCTTTAATAACATCCCTGAACTTCTCAATGCCAAAGTACTAACTCAATGCCAAAGTACCAGTCCGTTTTTCGGCAACATGCTGTCAGCTTTATTTAGGCCAAGTTTTTAACTGGATTCGCTTTCCAGTTTCCATCGTAAAATAAAGGAATAATATACGTGAACCCATCTGTTGGACCACCACAGGAACCGTTATCATTTCAGCAACAACATCTTGATTAATAAGTTAGCCTAAATCATGGTATTTATCGAAAACACAGTCATGTAAGTTGAGAAATTCAACAAGTCTCCATCAATCGTTTGTTCTCAGTGAAATGACAATTCTTCTCAAACACTCTTAGTTGTTTGTTTACTGTCATAATTATCACTCGATTATTGTTTAGTTATACACCTGTAAATGTGCGCTTGGGGTGGTGGTCTGTTTACAGTTGTACATGTCTGAATAAGGAGTTTGTGTAATTCTGTACAAAATATGATCAAACTTTATTAAACGATCACTTTTATTAAACGACCGTTGTTTTAAATTTCCTGTGGTTGCTTAATACAGATTCCACTGTAGTACATATGATAAATGAAAGGATATTGTCTTCAGAGTTATTAATAAGGGTGCAAGAGGAAGAAAGAAAATGTTTGTTGTTTCCATTTGGGTTCAAATCTTCGTCTATTGTTGAAACTAACTAGAGTTGGATTAATGCAGCGTCATTATAGAATTGGTGCTGTGACCAGGATTTGCTTTAATCAACAGCAAGGTGAGGAGCCGTATCCGCAGCAGTATACCAGACCTGCTTAACTTCGATGACTATGGCAAGAAAAAGGGACTCGGGTAAAGATAAGAGCGACTGTACTATTAACCCATGCTGTCTCACATATCTAAGGTTCAATTTATATCATATGTTTATTCTAATATGTCTGCATTAGAATTTCATTTTATGTCCTAAATCTGTGGAAGTTAAAAAAGTTAAGGACCATATTTATGATATATGATAATTAGCTTGAGGTAATAACATGATGTTGTGGTTTTGTTCTGATTTTGATGGTTTTACATCTGCTATAACAACCTTTCGTCCTTTTAGCAGACAATGATATAACTATTTAAGACAATGATATAACTATTTAAGACAATGATATAACTATTTAAGACAATGATATAACTATTTAAGACAATGATATAACTATTTAAGACAATGATATAACTATTTAAGACAATGATATAACTATTTAAGACAATGATATAACTATTTAAGACAATGATATAACTATTTAAGACAATGATATAACTATTTAAGACAATGATATAACTATTTAAGACAATGATATAACTATTTAAGACAATGATATAACTATTTAAGACAATGATATAACTATTTAAGACAATGATATAACTATTTAAGACAATGATATAACTATTTAAGACAATGATATAACTATTTAAGACAATGATATAACTATTTAAGACAATGATATAACTATTTAAGACAATGATATAACTATTTAAGACAATGTACCAATGTGTGGCCCTCTTCAGTATTTTCATATTATATCTAAAATGTATAAGACTAATACTGTTATCAGTGATGATGACGACATGAGGGAATGGGTACGTACCGTCTGGAATCGGTGGTTTGATGAACTGTTTCCCCCAACACCATCTGATTCTGAGGAAGAGGAAGAGCTGTCTGTGTCGGAGGATCAGCCTAAAGATGACAAGGCTGACAAAAAGAGGTAGGGAACAGGTCCTACAGCACAAGGATTCCTTATCTCAGTGCATTACACCAATTCTATCTTTCACACAGGTTAAATACTAGCTGCTTCCTAACGACTCAGCTAGAGGGAATTTCTTTTTAGCTCATTTGGTAGACCTTCAGACTAGCGCACCAGTTGTCTTTGGTTCGGCCTCTAGTGGGGGCATTGAAAAAATAATGACCTCTGTTACATTGTTGTCCATGTAGGGACACAGAACATGTTGACTAAAATAATCAGCATTACTTTCAGAAGAACCCCAAAAACCAAAGGTAAGTACATTCTTGGAGAGGAAGTACTTTGTAAGTGACTCTGATCCAATAGTAGCCGCTTATAAATTACATGATAATTTGACATGTGTGTTAAATTATAGTTTATATACAACTTTTTATTGCTCCCTTGCTTATATATATCATAGGTTGTTTTTTCTACAGTGGAACGTTTTGATATATATGTGTGAATTTACTTAAGTTAATTTCCTTGTTTACGTGTTGTAATATTCTTGTATCTAGGTTTTTCATGTTTATGTTTTTATGCAAATTAGGGGAGTGTTAACCAATCAGCATTAACCCCTAGAGGGTATGTGGTATTGTCAGTGCCCCTCATTATTGATTTACGGCGGATGTTGGTGTGTTTGCTTTTCGCGTATTCTTCGACTTTTCAAGTGTTTACTACACTATGGATTTATCTTAAACTACACTACGATTACTCAGTGACAGTCATCACCGTATGATTTAACTTTCGCCAGTTTGTTACGTTGTAAACGTGAATCAGTATGAGGAGAAACGTTTGTTTACTTTCTGCGTGATTTTTGGACTTGAGTTGTGGCTACGCTACTGTACACACTGGGAGCAAGGCAGCCTACTGATTTTTTACTGTTGTACGAATAATACCACCTTACAACTTCGTGTTTAAGGACTTGACACACTTCCTTTACAATTATAGCGAGCAAAATACTTTGCCGTGATTCGTCATTACGGTGTGAACTTGACATTTTACGTGCATTCGACCTTTCGAACCTACACCTTAGGCTATTTATAGCGTTAATATTTAGGCCTATCGACAATAGTTTTAAGACATGGGGTCTAAAAGTAGGAATTCTACAGTTGTTCCGTACGATCCGGTAGCTCGTTTCCGAGAGGAATTGACAAGATTGACAGTACCGTTCAGTGCCAACGGGAAACGAACGGGTTTGATAAATAATTTGAGAGACTCGAGGACAAGAGGTGCGCGATCCCACAATTCCGTGCGACAAGATGGCGACCTAGGTTACTTCGAATCGATATCATTCCTCGATGGTTCGCATACGCAAACGCTTGTCGACATTGTCACTGGATTGGCAGAGAGTGTGTCAACACTACAGGACAGTTATGTCAGACTGGAAAGGCGAATAAGTGATTCCGTTACTAGCGTCACCACAACAGTGAGTTCTGTTACTATTCTTCCTGGCGTCAAGTTTCTCCTGCAGCAGTGGCCGGCAGCGAACATCAACTCGGCACGGAATTGAGGATCCTAAATCAACCTCAAGCAGAGTACACCTTAGAGACCGCATACATGAGTTGAAAAACATACGCATCACCAGCATGCACTTTCGAAGTTTCCAGATGAAATCCGTCCTACAGGCTCCCTGAACAGCGAAGAATGTCGACACTGTCATAACAACAGCACGTGTGTATCTTCTCTGGCTGACATCCGAGGTGTGACGAACGGGACGCGTTCGGTTTTAAATGAACCTTGAGTCTTACTAAAGTCCTGTGTTCTTACCAGGCAGGTTCCAGGCTATCTGGCTACTCCCAGGGCTTTATGATATCGTCTATTCAGCATGCTACGTGGGCGCTTCTAGGTCTATTCGATTTCAAGTCTTAGAGTCAAGTCGCTTCTCTGCAGCACAGTAGAGGCAAGCTTCTTCTCTAGGTCTATTCTATGTCAAGTCTTAGCGTCAAGTTGCTTCTCTGCAGCACAGTAAAGTCAAGCTCCTTCTCTAGGTCTATTCGATTCAAGTCTTAAGAGTCAAGTCACTTCTCTGCAGCACAGTAGAGTCAAGCTTCTTCTCTAGGTCTATTCGATTTCGAGTCTTAGAGTCAAGTCGCTTCTCTGCAGCACATTAGAGTCAAGCTTCTTCTCTAGATCTATTCGATTTCAAGTCTTAGAGTCAAGTCGCTTCTCTGCAGCACAGTAGAGTCAAGCGTCTTCTCTAGGGCTATACGATTTCAAGTCTTTAGAGTCAAGTCGCTTCTCTGCAGCACAGTAGAGTCGAGCTTCTTTTCTAGGTCTATTCAATTTCAAGTCTCAGAGTCAATTCGCTTCTCTGCAGCACAGTAGAGTCAAGCTTCTTCTCCAGGTCTTTTCGATTTCAAGTCTTAGAGTCAAGTCGCTTCTCTGCAGCACATTAGAGTCAAGCTTCTTCTCTAGATCTATTGGATTTCAAGTCTTAGAGTCAATTCGCTTCTCTGCAGCACAGTAGAGTCAAGCTCCTCTAGGTCTATTCAATTTCAAGTCTTAGTGCTCGAGTCAAGTCGCTTCTCTGCAGCACAGTAGAGTTAAGCTTATTCTCCAGGTCTATTCGATTTCAAGTCTTAGAGTCAAGTTGCTTCTCTGCAGCACAGTAGAGTCAAGCTCCTTCTCTAGGCCTATTCGATTTTGAGTCTTAGAGTCAAGCTGCTTCTCTGCAGCACAGTAGAGTTAAGCTTCTTCTTTAGGTATATTTATTTTCAAGTCTTAGAGTCAAGTCGCTT